TTTTTTTGGCCAGGGCTGGGTTTGAACCCACCACCTCCAGTATATGGGGCTGGCACCCTACACCTTGAGCCACAGGCACTGCCTTTTTTTTTTTTCTTTTTTTTTTTTAGACAGACTCTCAAGCTGTTGCCCTGGGTAGAGTGCTGTGGCATCATGGCTCAAAGCCATTCCAACTCAGGCTCAAGCGATCCCTTTTCTATTCTTAGTAGAGATGGGGTCTCGCTTTTGCTCAGGCTGATCTCGTGAGCTCAGGCAATCCACCCACCCCAGCCTCACAGAGTTCTAGGGTTACAGGCATGAGCCACTGCGCTTGGCCCAGAGTCTCACTTTCTCACTCAGACCAGAGTGCAATGATGCAATCATAGCTTACTCAGTACTGCCTCGAAGTCCTAGGTTCAATCAATCTTCTTGTCTCAGCCTGCTGAGTAGCTGGGTGTACATGTACGTGCCATCATGCCCAGCTAATTACCTTGATCACATTTAAAATCATGTGCATTTGCATTTTCTACTAGGCCCCGTTACATTCTGGTATCTCACTGATTTATGAATCTACTTGTCTATCAGCTGCTTTTTCTGCCGGGTTCTGAGCAGAGGGACAGGAATGTGTCTGCTTATTTCTCTGCTGTGTCCCCGAGGCCCAGGCCCAACCTGGACAGGTACAAGTCAATCAGAGAACATGTCTTGACCAGATGGCTGGGTGATGGATGGATGGGCAGACAGGTGCAAGGACATATGAATGGATAGGTAGATGGATGTTCAGATGGGTGGAGGGATATAGGAGCACATGGATTGATGAAGGAATGGACAAATGAATGGATGAACAAACTTCCAAGTGAGGACCCGTGTGGTAGTCTGGACACTTAGCTCAAGATCTCAAGAAAGGGAGCAGCTATTTGGAGTCCATGACATTGGAGGACTCAAGTTCATGAGCTCCAACCAACCACTCCCTGACTTCTAAATGACATTTGGCATCTGCAAAGTGCAAGATAACAACTATTGCTTTGAGCTGTATTGGTATAACTGTCATGAAGAATCACTAGGCTAAGTAAGCACTGTGTGTGCCCTACTGGGCTGGGCTGAGAGGTAGGTCTTTCTGTCCCTGTTTTACAGATGAACTTGAGGTTCAGCACAATCTGGTCATTTGCGTGAGGACATGTAGCCCACATCTGCCTTTAATGTTAGCTGTAAAAATTTGCCAGGCAGGCTTGGTGCCCATAGCTCAGTGATTAGGGCACTGGCCACATATACCAGGCCAGGACTGGTGGGTTTGAACCCAGCCTGGGGCCAGCTAAACAACAATGACAACTGCAATAAAAAAAAAATAGCTGGGGCTCAGCACCTGTGGCTCAAGTGGCTCAGGTGCCAGCCACATACACCTAAAGTGGCAGGTTGGAATCCAGCCTGGGCCCACCAAACAACAATGATGGCTGCAACTGAAAAAAAAAAATAGCCAGGCGTTGTGGCGGGTGCCTGTGGTCCCAGCAACTTGGAAGGCGGAGGCAGGAGACTCACTTGAGCCCAGGAGTTGGAGGTTGCTGTGAGCTGTAATGCCACGACACTCTGCCCAGGGGGACAGCTTGAGGCTCTGTCTAAAAGAAAAAAAAAATAGCCGGGCATTGTGGCAGGCACCTATAGTTCCAGCTACTTGGAAGGCTGAAGCAAGAGAATCACCTAAGCCCAAGAGTTTGAGGTTGCTGTGAGCTGTGACGCCATGGCACTCTACTGAGGGGGACAGCTTGAGACTCTGTCTCAAAAAAAAAAAGAAAAAGGCTCGGTGCCTGTAGCTCAAGCAGCTAAGGTGCCAGCCTACCATAGCTGGTAGGTTCAAATCTAGCCCGGGCCTGCCAAACAACAATGACAACTACAACCAAAAAATGGCCAGGTGTTGTGGTGGGTGCCTGTATTCCCAGCTATGTGGGAGGCTGAGGCAGGAGAATCACTTGAGCCCAGGAGTTGGAGGTTGCTGTGAGCTGTGATGCCATGGTACTCTACCCAGGGTGACAGCTTGAGGTTCTGTCTCAAAAAAAAAAAAGAAAGAAAAAGAGAAGAAAAAAGAAAAAAAATTGCGAGGCAATGGAGAGGATGAGGGTGGGGCAATGGCCAAAGCCCTGCCCTTCTGAGATCATCCCTGACTGAGGGAGGTTGGTCTTCCAGCCCCTTCCTGGTTGTCAGTGGAGCTGATGGGGAGGAGGAGGGGTTCTGTAGTCCTGCCTGCCACACCATCCTGTCCGAAGAGCTCCCCTCTAACTGTGCATTTGTCCGTAGGATGTTGTCCAGCTTCAACGAATGGCTTTGGCAGGAGCGGTTCTGGTTGCCGCCCAATGTCTCATGGGCCCATTTGGAGGACAGGGATGGCCTGGTCTTCGCCCACCCCCGGGACTTGCTTGTGGCCCTGCCCCTGGCCCTGGTTCTACTGACCATGCGCATCGCCTTTGAGAGGTGAGTGCCTCGGCTACAGCCTGTCACCCTAATCATTGGTGAGTGTACCCCCACCCCATGCTGCTTGGCCCTCCTAATGTGTCCTGGGTGGACCCTGGCTTGGCACCAATGTCCTTTCCCCAGCTCCAGCCTATCCCCAGATGTGTCTCCACCCCCGCCCTCAACTTCTGGTCTCTGATTGCTGGTTTAGGGCAACAATGGCCACAGCTCTGAGCTGGGTATGCCAGCATCTTCATGAAAGGTGGGGGTGCCTGGAGAACATAGGCCCACTTTGCTCTCCCTAGGGCCAGCCTGAAGAGCCCAGACATGGTTGACAAGTGGAGAATCCCCTGCCTGGGGATATTTCTCTCCCAAAATTCCCCCAACCCCTCCTCACTAGCTCTTCCTAGCACCTTCCCTCACTCTGGCCTACCCTTTTTTCCTTTTAGAGATGGAGTCTCTGTCACTCACGCTAAAGTACAGGGGCATCATCATAGACTGCAGCCTCCAGCTCCTGGGCTGAAACAGTTGTCCTGCCTCAGCCTCCCCAGTAGCTGGGACCACAGGCGTGGCCACAATACTCAGCTAATTTTTAAATTTTTGTCTTGCTGTGTTGCTCAGGTTAGTTTCAGACTTCTGGGCTCAAATGAGCCTCCCATACTGGCCTCCCACATTTTTCCCCTCTCTGGCCATCTGTTCTTCAAGAATATGCCACCTGCCCAGTTTCCCAATGACCTCCCAATTGCTAAATCCCATGAATTTTGAGCCATTTCTCCCATGACCCCTATGCTGCACAAAACCAGGTTGCTTCTCTCCCTGTGGCCAAGATCCTCTCCTCTGGCAGTGTGGGCATCTCTCTGGGGCACCTTCCCTCCAGGCCCCTTCCCTCCAGGCCCCTTCCCTCCATGGCTCTTCCCTCTCCCACATGGACCAGTGCACTGCTCCCCAGCCTGCCCTGCCAGGGCCCTTTCCTGCCTGAGGCACTGCCTAACTGCCCAATGCCCTCAGCTGCCCTCCCCTATTACCTTCCACAATCTCTGATCTCCCATCTGAAGTTGTATTGATTTAAGAGACTTCCTTTTGGGCAGCTACTTCATGCTGAGAAAGGCTCTAGGCAATTTAATGTTTCTTAACTCACCTTAATCTTTAATGCAACCCCAGGAAGTGGTGCTAGTATAATCTCCATTTTACAGAAGAAAAAAACACGAGCACAGAGAGGTTGAATGACCTACCTAAGGTCACACAGCAGGTTGATCCACTGTGCCTGAGGCTGTGCCAGAGGGAATCTATTGAACTTCACTTCACCCTGGCCTTAAAGGGTAGTGGGATCCCTGCCTTCCCAGAGGGATAGGAGAGGGTGTGGATAGACTGTATCTAGGCACATTTTTGGAGCCCGGGGATAGCAGGGGCAGAATGCATATTTAAATGGTAGCCTTCTCTGAGGTAGAAGTGTTATTATTAGGGTACAAAGCTCAGTAGGTACTGTATACCAAACAAGAAAAGAATTTCTGGCTTGGCACCCGTAGCACAGTGGTTATGATGCCAGCCACATACACCAAGGGTGGTGGGTTTGAACCCAGGCTGGGCCAGCTAAACAACTGCAACAAAAAAATAGCTGGGCATTGTGGAGGGTGCCTGTAGTCCTAGCTACTTGGGAGGATGAGGCAAGAGAATCACTTCAGCCCAAGAGTTTGAGGTTGCTGTGAGCTGTGACGCCACGACATTCTACCAGAGGTGACATAATGAGACTCTGTCTCAAAAAAAAAAAAAAAAAAGAAAAGAAAAGAAAGAAAGAAAAAAGAACAGAAAATAATTTCTCTGGACCAAAATTAGGGTATAAAGTTTATTTTATCTTCTTTGAAAGAGAGGGGAAATGAGAAAAGGAAAGGGGGGCGGGGGAAGAGAACAGGGAAATGTGTGGCATCCTCCCAAAAAAGAAAAATTCCTACCCTGAAGTCAGGGGCTAGCTGAATTTAAGGGGGCAAAAATTTTAAAAGGTAACTGCAGCCAGACTCCACAGGGTACTGTGAAACTCGTCCATCTGCCTTTCCTCCAACCGGATTTTGCTGTTGGAGACAGACTTTGCACAGGAATTTCTGAACCTGTTGTTGATTCTATCCTGATCTCGAAATTTCTCTCTAGCAGAATCTTTGATTTCAGGGTTTGAAGAATGAAACCACAGACCACTTGGATAAGCTAAAGGACAGAATTTATTGACAGAGAAAGAAATAGATAAAGGGAAAAAGGTCAACAGAACCTCTGACAGTGGAGGGGGGAAACCCCAGTGGGAAGCCCTCCTGGGCCTTTTGCCTAGGGGTTCATATACTGCCTACCAGCAGAGGGGTCTTGGGACTTGTGTCTGGAAGGTGTCACAACTGGCCAGGAGCCAGGCAGGCAAAAATGATCCTAAAATTAGCAAGTGACTGTATTAGCAAATGAAAGTGGTCCTTACAGTCCCTGTCCCAGGTGAGGTAGCAAGGTGTGTGCTTTCCATTCAAGGGGGGACCACCCAGATGAGCTACTGAGCAGGCTACTTGAGTCCAGAGAATACAGTCTGGAAAAGGTCAGTTTGCCCAGGCCTAGAAAATGGGGGTTCCCTGTCCATCCCTGAATGGGGGAACCCTGTATCACTGAGATAGGATTTCGGCCAGGATCTGAGGTCAGACACCTCAGCCCACAGCTTATTTTTCCTTTAGGGACAACCCAAGAACTCTTGAGGCTATAGAACAGATTCTAAAAGATAGATTTAGACAGCATATCTAGTGATTATAAAGAAAATTTCTATTTCCTTCCTGTCTGCTGGTCTCCTCAGTGGTTTGTGAAGTCAGAAATCTACCAGGTACCTGCTCCCAAGAGAAAGTGAGCAGAAGAGAGAGAGCTCATGATTGATTTTAACCCTTACTGAAAACTTATATGAGTTAATAATTTCTCTATTGCCAGGCATGGTGGCTCACACCTGTAATCCCAGCACTTGGGAGGCTGACGCAGGTGGATTGCCTGATCTCATAGGTCTGAGACCAGCCTGAGCCAGAGTGAGACTCTGTCTCTAGAAATAGCCAGGTGTTGTGGTGGCCACCTGTAGTCCTGGCTACTTGGGAGGCTGAGACAAGGGAATTGCTTCAGTTCTGGAGTTTGAGGTTACTGTGAGCTATGATGCCACGGTACTCTACCAAGGGTGACAGAGTGAAAAATAATAATAATAATGATAATTTCTCGGGCAGCATCCATAGCTCAGTGGGTGAGGCACCAGCCACATACACTGAGGCTGGTACG